TTACAAGTATTCTAGATTTCTGATTAAATTCCTTATTATACTTACAATTCCTCAAAGTCCAGATGCTTCTGCAACAAATATCAGCTTCATGTTTCATTCATTTAGCATAATGCTTCATTTGCTAGAATCAGGCTCAGAATCCTCAAAAACGAGAATACAGCCACAACCTACAGGTTTGTCAGACTGTAATGTTTTCACCCATGAAAGGAGTGAAGGGGTATCCGACATTTAAGTCATCATTCAAACACTGTAGTTTTAAGAAATCAACGGCTTGCCCCCATTCCAAACAGCAATCCACAAATTAGTGGGCTATATAGATCTGAGTCTGATAGCTTTTCCTAGGTTTCCTGTAGAACGGATCCATTCAGAACTTTTGTGCTAACACCATGAACTTCGCGCTTTCTTCCCTCGGCTGAAGTTTTGTTCCGGTTGCAACAACCCACAGTATTGAGACTGATAAACGTACTTATCTAAGGCTTTGGCAGCTTCGCGAATTCCACGTGCAAGGCCATCGTGGATGAGGGCGGTCTTCAGCACCTCTTGTAAAGCAGTGTTGACGTCCATTACACCTCCAGCAGCAATGCTGAAATGCGACAAATCAGAAACGTCAGCCAAAATTCGCCAACATTTAACTCCTTGGACCCGACGGAGACGGGCGATGTTCGACAGGTACGCTTATGGCGCCTCAGCTGACCCTGTCCGGCGCGTATGGCTCCGGGCCTATTTAGCACCCTCACCCCAAACCAAGCCCCCGGGCTCACCCTTCCTCGGCCATGGCGGTGGATTACGGATGAAGCTGAATCTTGAACAAACTGAAAAGCAAAAACACTGATCAGACGACTGTGTTTAAATCGGACACTAATCCCCCATCCGTGACAGAAGTCACCAGTCCCACTAAAACCACCGCATTCGCCGACCCTAGACGTAACTCACCCCGAGCCACCGCCTCCGCGCGACTCGGCGGCGGCAGAGAAAGAGACCGCGCGTGACCGCATGACGGTATTTAAGGGTTTTGCTAGGTACCCCTGCGCATGTGCGTTCCCGCCCACAAAAAAAAAAAGGTGGCTCTCGCGGTGCCAGACTTTTAGATTTTCTGTTTCCGGTTTAAGACTGTAGAGAAACAAGAACACTGTGAGTTCCCTGCCTCTGCCTGGGCCAGTGTTTAGCGCGCACAACCGGCAACACCCGGGCAGCTTCTCACTGTCCTTTTCCGCGGCAGGCGTGGCCTGCGAAGACCAGAGAGCTCATCCTACGGAGTGCCTGAGGAACCAAATCTTTCTGTCGCGTGGTTTAATCGGATCCTGGGTGCCAATGCGCCCTGGGTCCCTAAGAACATCAGTTTTAATCCTTTCCACGCCACGTTGTAATTTCCTGCCGGTTTCACGTTTTGCCCCTTGGTTTCTAAGTCATTCTGTGGGCTCTCTTCATCTTTGTTTCCTTAAAACGGGAGCCAACACGTTTTGGCTACTTCTAGCACTTAGCAAACCCACTTGGCAGGCTGTGTGTTAGTTGAGCGGAACACGTGACGCGGCGGTCAGTTCCGGTTTCAGTGTGGTGGGTTTCAATGGAGTCTTGTGCCGGTTTCCTAGTGCATGCAAGGCAGGGCTCTCCCGCCGTGTCTTCATGCCAACTTTGTCACGGGCTCGGCTTCGGGTGCTATAGGAATGAAAAGCGTAGCGTTTGGAAAACAGGAGTCGGCGAATTCGGTGTGCAATTCGAAAAACTCCAAACTTGTGATTTTTTTTTTTCCCCCTAAGAATTATGTTTCATTTTGAAGTAATTGGCCAGTTCCCCAGTCCACGTCTAAAGCAAATTCACGGAACTGCTGAATATAATCTTTTTTTTCCCCTCTCCTCTTTTAACAAGTTGACCAGCCATTCAGCAATTAGTAAGCCTTTGTTATGGGCCTGATGGGTGTATACATAGAGCAAAGTCAGCCTCCTGAGTGCTGTGAGAAAATTGTCCATGTGATAAGATTATAGGGAGAGTTATCAAGACAGAAGTCCTGGGATTTTAGTAAATTGTTGGAGTTCATTTTCAGCTTTTCAGTTGCTTTTGAGTTTCATTTAAAAAGTGTTGAGTCGTCTTCTGTAACGTACACAAATGTTTATGAAATTTTGCCTTGAGAAACAAAAAGCCAGAATGTACCCATGGCTCTGCATTTTTGACGTGGGATTGAGATTTGAGCCCAAGAATAGATTGCCTAAATGCCACAAGAGTGGTGCAAGGTAGTGCAAGGTAGCCTGGGGTTAAGGAGAAGATTTTGAGCTTGTAGCAGCTTGTGAAAAGGGCTCCAAAAGGGAATCCCATCAGCAGGGGAGAAAAGGAGAGAGTATTCTAAACAGAGTAAGGGCAAGGCACAGATGCCTTTTTGATTTTTTTTGACAATTACCCTTAAAATATTTTTATATTTGAGAAAGAATGTGGTTAGGAGTGTTTAAACACTCTTTTCAAATTAAAGTTAACGTGTTAGGACTGGACAAATAACTCTGATATGCTAGCCCAGCATCTGTGAGACCCTGGATTCCATGCCCAGCACCAAAAAAAAAGAAAGGAAGAAAGAAGAAGAAGAAAAGTTAACGTGCTAAGCATATTATATTTCATTTCCCCAAAACATCTTATAGAAGAAGCAAGCAATTTGTAAAGACTCTGGAAATGTAAATATGGAAAATAACTGTTTTTAAAGCATTTTCATGAAGGAAAAATGACCAAGGGCCTTTTAGCTTAGTGGCTTTAGTGCTGGGGTTCCCAGTTTAGTACCTATAAATTCACACTTGGCTTTCCTCTTCTAGCAGTTCCTAATTTGTTCTGTTGACTCAATATCACGGACCTATGCCCTCATATTTTACTTTACCTTTTTCTATCAGCCACAAGCCTCCCTCCTTAGGACTGGACCTATATTTTTTTAAAAAATCATCTTAGTTATATAACTAGTTCTAACCCCCACCCCACACCCTGCAAATAAAGTTAAAGGGCATACTCATGATAGAAGGAATCTTTAATATAGGTTCTCCAATTCACTTTTTAAAATTTACCTCCTTCAATTTTAGATATTGTCAAAGGTGGAAGAAAATATATATTAAAAGGTTAGTATCAAAATATTCTTATACAAACAGATTATAACATTTACATAATGCACACAAATATGAGTTTGAAATCCTACATATAAAAAATAAGTACACGCAGGCGTGGTGGTTCCTGTCTATAATCCCAGGAATTCTGAAGGCCAACGCAGGAGAATCAAGTTAGAGGCCAGCTCAGCGGGTTAGCAAGACCCTGTCTCAAATTTTTAAATTTTTTTTTTAAAGCTGAGGATATAGTTCAGTGATAAAGCTGGTTCAATCTTCAGTATCACAAAGAAAGGAGGGCGGGGGCAGTTAGAGTATAGCTCCATGGTAGAGTGCTAAATTCTTATTCTGTGTTTTCTCCCTAGATTGTCATAAAGACCTTACGTACTAATGCCAATATTATCTCTCCTTAAGAAGTAAGGAAACCCAGGCTTAGAGAGTTGTCCAAAGTCAGATGACTAGTAAATGGAGAAACTGGTCTTTAAGGCCCATACTCCTAACCATCCAAACCATTTGAATGATTGTTGAAATGTGGGAAGGAGATAACTGAGAATTCAAGAATGACTGTATCTCACATTCGGCTGTGATACAACTGGTTCCATCTCACTGTAATAAAAGGTTTCATCAATAGAAAAAGAGAATATTGCAGTTAGAAAGAGACAGCAGTAGAAATTTGTATTTACGTAGTTTATAATTTGCTAGAGCTGTTGTAACTAGGTACCCTAAATTGCTTTAAAAAAATAGAAATTTAAATTGCTTTAAAAAAAATAGAAATTAAAAAAAAAAATAGAAATTTATCATCTCGCAGTTCCACAGGCTAAAAATGTGACATCAAGATGTTGATAGGTAGCTGTACTCCATCTTGGACATTCCAAGAAAACCACTTTCTATTTGAAAACTTGAAATGTCTCTACCCTTGGGGGTACAAACGATATATGTACAATAGATGGAAATGAATGTTGTGAAAAAAACAGAAAAATGTTACCCTGACGCAGCTCAGGTTTAACCCTCATTTGTTATAACATGTACTATAGTTTGAAATATACTTTAAGAAACATTAGTTGTAGACAAAGATTTGGATAAATTCCCATATGTCAAAGGAACAATCCAAAGAGAAAAGGAGTTGGCAAGAAGGAAAATAAAATAAGAAAGTATATGAATAAATAAAAGTGGAATAGACTGACACAGGCTATTGGTAGTCCTGTAGCTTGTAAAGTTAGTATGTTAGGCCTTTAATTGCAAAACCCAGTTTATTGAGGGAAAAAAATATGATTGTGTGAGAGAATGGGACTGATAATTATATAGCCAAGTATGAAGCCTATGCCAATAGTTTATATATTTTGAGAGTTTTGTGAAATTTGTATCCACATTTCTAAGCCTTACTAATGTTACCCTAAATTTTATAAAATCAGAGAGACTTTCCCAAAGAATAATGACATTTATTTGGAAATAGCCCTGAATGGAAATATTAGAGCATTTCAATGGCTGTGTGCATATTATAGTAAACTATGGAAATATCCAAGGAGGTTTAGGTAAAGAAAGTTTTTAAAGATAAAAATGAAGGGATTACATCAGCTAATTCAAAGCAATAATCCTTGGCGAGAGTGAATGATACAAGAATGATGTCAATCTGTGGTAGAATGGACAGCTGCTGGCCAGATGCCCTGGTAAAAATACGTTTGTATAAGGCCATGGTGGCTTCTGTGCAAACTTGTGGTTCTGATAGTGTTTTGTGATAGTTACTATTAGTCAATCATGCAGAAGAACTCTTCCTTTATAACCTCTCAGCTTTATTTATTTTTGTTAGGACATAAGCAACTCCATTTTGATTACAGCAGCTTCACATTTCATTTGTACAGAATATTTTCTCTTCCACTTGTTTCAGTTGCTACCTAGCACCAGATGTGGTAGATACTCACTACAGGGCTGAATCAAAGCTCCTGAGAACTAAGCATACTATGGAAGGTAGAGCTGATACTTAATGTTTATAATTCAGTCCATTATGAACTAGCAACAAGATAAATTTATAACTGAAATAGAGCAGAGTGGCCCAAAGAGCAAACCCTAAGTTAATATTAAATGTATTCTCATGGGATAGAAGGAAAACCTGAGTGTGTGGGACTCCAGCTGCCAGCGCTGCTTTCTTTAGAGTAACTTTACTGTTTTCTGGTGTTTCTTTTTAAAAATTGTTTCTGGAAAGACTGGAGATTTAAGGATTCTTTGATATAGATTCTCCTCCTTATCATTGTCTGACTATGTAGGCTTCGTTAAAACATTTCCAGTCTTTTAGCTAAATGAATCTGAAATCATCCAACTTGAAGAATGGAGCAGGGATGGGGGAGAGAAGCAACTGAAAAACAATAGAGCTGCAATGACCTGTGGGACAGAAGTAAAAAAATCAAAAGCTCTCGTATTTATAATTGAAAGGTCTAACATGCTGTGTATGCGGTTGAAGGGCCAGAAGACAAAATAATGATATAGAAATACTTGAAGAAATAATATTCAAAAGTTTCCCAAATTAGTTAAATAACTAAATTTACAGATTTAAGAAGTTCAGTGAATTCATGACACATACTTGCACACACCCAGGGACATAAGTGAGCTACTGAAACCCAATGGTAAAGAGAAAAATTCTCAGGGCAGCCAAACTAAAGAAAAAAAGAAAAATATGTACATTAAAAATGGGAGATGAATAATATAAAATATCATGGATCTGTAAAACTGCATGTTTCTTAATTAAGGTGATCTGTTAAATTACAAGGTTTTATATGACGTGTTACAATTTTAACTAAGTAGCCCAGAAAAGTTAGGAATGTGTATTATAATACCTAAGCAAACAATTAAAAATAACTGATAGAGATAGAGACAGATAAACTAAAGTGGAATTCCAAAATGTTTTTTCAATTAAATCAAAAGAAGAACTGAATAAAAAACAGAAGGGATGATATAAAACAAATAATTAAAATGGTAGACTTAAATTCAACCATGTCAGTACTTACCTTAAATGTAAGGTATTTATCTACTATCTAACTAAAGAAGTTTCAGCAAGTTTCAAGATAGAAATCTTCTAGAATAGTTCTTTGTCAATAATAGAATGTAATTAGAAATTAACAGCTTCAAAATTGAAAGAATTAAATGATATAATAAATTCAAAATTGTAGGTAGATATTTGAATCTCCCTCAATTATTGGTTGATAGAACAATTAGGCCAAATAAGTAAGATTATAGAAGATATGAACAAAACTGTAGCTTTGACATAATTGACTTTTGTAGAACACTACACCCAACAATGATAGAATATTGTTATTTTCTAGTACATATGGTACCATTTACAAAGAGAGAATGCATGCTGGGTCATAAAACAAGTTTCAATAACTTAAGATGGAAATCTTCTAGAATAGTTCTTTGATTATAATAGAATTAAATTAAAAATCAATATAAAGATAATCTAGCAGCTGGGGAGGCTGAGATAGGAGGATGGTGAGTTCAAAGCCAGCCTCAGCAAAGTGAGGCATTAAGCATCTGAGTGAGACCCTGTCTCTAAATAAATTACAAATTAGGGCTCAGGATGTGGCTCAGTGATTGAGTGCCCCTGAGTTCAATCCCCGGTACACCTCCCCCCATAAAAAAGATAATCTGGAATTTCGGAAATAAGAAACAGAGGTCTTATTAAATTGTGGATAAAAGAAGAAAACATAAGGGAAATTAGTAAATATTGCAAACTGAGTGATAATTTATGGGATGTAGTTAAAGCAATGTTCATATAGGGAAATTTAAAGTCATAAATGTTAGTATTAGAAAAGAGGAAAAGGATAATCAGCAATATAAAGTTCTGCCCTAAGACACTTGAAAAATAAGAACAAAATTAACCAAATGAAAGTAGAAGAAAGAAGAAATAAAAATGAGAGTAGAAATGGATAATATAGAAGTTAAGCTTATAATGATAAGTTAATAATAAGAAGCTAAATAATTAAGAAAAACTTAAAAAGGCAAAGTTTGTTTGAAAAGAACATTAAGCTGGGCATGGTGGCACATGCATGTAATCCTAGTGGCTCAGGAGGCTGAGGCAGGAGAATCGCGAGTTCAAAGCCAGCCCCAGCAA